TTTTTGTGTGTGTGTGTTTAATCATTCTGCCAAGTGATTTTTGATGTAGACAATAGGCATATTTAGTGATGAAACATTGGAGTCTGTGACCTTCCCATGCAGCTCCAGTCCAATGTTTTCTGACTGATGCACTGCAGAATGCAGAGCAGGCCAGCTGTATCTGCTGGAGGTTTATGGGGACCTCCTTGGGTTGAGCAGAACAAACCTGTGCTTTAAAGCAGCCCACATGTTTATAGTGTTTGTGTTTGTATTTTAACTTTTCATACTGTTTCTTTTTTATAATATGTATTGAATGTTTTCTTGGCGTTCACAGATTGTATTCTATATGGCCCATACAGATGGAATAAATTCTGTAGCTGTAGCACAGCAACAACAGACCAATAATGTGATGAATGTCATTGCATTGACTTTTTGTGTGTTTCAGATATCTTCTTAGATCCACAGATAATCTTCTTAGATTAGCATTAGGATTAAGTACTATTTTGGAGTGAAATAGAGATGAGTTTATAATTGCGTACAGCGATCTCACTGCTGAATGTCGTGGAACAAAATCCTGACAAATCTGAGAACTTCCCCTCTACTTTATTGACTTTGGAGAGTGTGGTGTAGGGTGGAATTTCTGTTGGAACGTGGTTCCAGCTTTTTTGGAAGAAGGCTTTTTCCTTTCCTAAGAACTATACGAGTCTAGAGACTACCATCAGGTAGAAAGTGGAGTTTGAGGCCGAAGTAGAGTGTATCTAGACTAGGAGGAGCAGCTCCTCAGTGAAAGGAAGGCCTTCAGAAAAAGTCCTGGCTGACATGGGTCAGACTTAACGTTGACTTGTCTGCCCTATGCCGTGCGTCTTAGAAAGCATCACGTGTTACGCTTTCAAAAGTGTGCTCTGCTGATGGAAGAAGGACAAGCGGTGACTTTTACACCGCTGAAAAACAACCTTCACCTTTTTCCCCCATGACATAAAGGTTAAAATTTTAATGTCCTATCTGTGCCTGACTCTAGACTCAACCATCATGCGCTGGAGTGCAATGTATTTCAAATCTAATCACTTCAGAAAGAGGGTGAACAGACTAAGTGGCGGTGAGGGATTCAAAGTAAATCATCCTGTTCAAGACAGACATTTTTTAAAAAGGGAAATTATTTGATCTCTTATTTTGCTTCTCTGTATTTCTTATATATAGATGTATCCATGAAAATATCCCTATGCACCTTGTGTCAACCAGTTATCCCTGCGTTTCAGACGCAGTGGCGTTCAATTTACTTTTGTTTATGAGACGGCTGTACAGTTTTCAAACTGCCACAGATAATTCCTTAGCTAATATACTTTGAATTTTGGTGCCATGTTTCCTAGGGAATGCTCAGGAAAGACAGATGGCTTTTGTATAAATGAATGAGATGAGTCCTTTGATTGCAAATAGAAACTTGCGTTTTGCATAAACCCCCTCTGTTGTCAGGGGGCTCGTAGGCAGCAGGGAGAGGGCTGTAGAGGGGGTTTGCAGCATTACAATGAGATTTTGGAGGTTTTAATAAGGAGCAGAAGCATATGGGCATTGAGAAAACGCTTTGATAAAGCAACTTTGTTCAGTACTTCACTGTGCATGTTTTGTCCTTGTTTGTTTTGGTCATCTATTCATAGCTTAGCTGTTCAGTAGATTAATACAATAGATGTTTGGAGAGAAGTCGGTGTTCCTTCAAAAGATGTTGAAAGGAAAATGCTGTTTTGAGGAGCTGGTTGGCTTTTTGTTTTTTTTTTTTTTTTTTTGTGGAAGCAATTTGTATGGTCAAAAATAGGGGTTGGTCATCAGGGATCTGTCAAAAAAAACACTTGCGGGCAAACCTAATTCCAAGAAGCCCAATGTGTCCTTCCCTGCTCCATCCCAGTCAGGTCGGAATTCCAGTCAAACCACGTAAATGAAGATCATTTGTGAAAGCTGGAACAGAAAATTGAATCGAGAGATGCTGTGATGTGCCTTGTGCTGTTTGTGTCTCTCGTATGTTCAGGTTGTGTTAAGATGCCTGTGAAGCGCTCTGCAATTATGCAAAACAGTCGGCAGGTTCCTTTGAGCGCGTAGATTTGGGCACAATATAGTCCTTTGGGTAGCTGAAAGTTCTTCAGGTAGTATGATGACAGTTGCCTCTGTTGCTTTGTTTGGGGATTTTTTTGGTGTTTTTGGGGGGTGGGTTTGCAGGTTGTTTTGTTTTTTTTTTTTTCCCCCAGTTAAATTCATAACGATGCATATTAGTGGGATATTTTTCAGTAAACATTAGAGTGGATGGTCGTTATTACCCATTCTTCCTAATAAGTGGCACTAAGACAGAAATCAGTGGTTTCCTATAGCAAATTGCAGTGATCGAAAATGTAGAGATTTGTTCTATTTAATTCCATTGTGACTTACTGAAGATTTCTTCAAACTCCTCCCCATCTGAGAAGGTGGCAGGCTCCTGTAGCTTTAGGGTGTATTAAAGTACAGAGGATTCATGCTAAAAATGTCTTTTGGTACTTCTTCGTTTTCTTTGCTTTCTAATTCAGGTATCGGAGCTCTCTTAAAAAACACTCTTGAAACACTATGGTGCGCTTTCACTTGTTGTGAGCAAGCCTGGGCTTTAGTCAGCTGGATGCTCCCCAGCATTTTGACACATTTTTCTAATATACAGAATTTGAACCCTTGTCTCATAAGTAAGATTTAGGTTTGCTTAAGCAAATAATTCTTTTTAGTGGGTCACAGCCAGCCAGCCACGTGTGCGGATTATTTTGTTTTGTTCCCGCAAGACTGGTGGTTTTGGATCACAGCAGCTCTGCCTCAGCAAAACTGGGAAGCTGAGTCTTTGTGTGACTATTATTTCCTTTTTTTATTATTATTATTTTTTCAAAATTTATGAATTACGTATTTCACTTCTGAGATTTAAAACAAAAAGGGGAGTGGTCGACCTGAAATAAATAAATAAATCCAAGTTTAAAGTCAAAGGTGAGGCTTGAATGGCAACAGAATGTTAATAAAAACATAAAAGTACTACAGTCTGATGCTGGAATGTTCAGAAATTCTCAGAGAGGTGCCAGCCCCCACTGAAATTCACCCGTAAACTTTATTCAAGATTAAATTCAGTGAAGTATTTGTAGACACTTTCTGAAATACCTGGGGTGGGGGTTTTTTGGTGGTTTTTTTTCCTTGGTTTTTTTTAATCCAAGGAAGCAGCAGGTGAGCCAAAAGTCTGATCTTCAGGACTTCAGGTCTCCTTATCTGCTGCTGCATGATCCATTAGTTACTGTTCTTTATGGGTGAAACTTAAAAAGAATTTGAATGGAGTTAAATGTCCAAAACCCATTCAGTTACGCTCTTAATCAGATTCTGGGTTTTTTAGATAAAGGAAATCATGTTTCCTTTTTATTCTGCTTATTGGCTTCATTGGAAATACTTCGGTCCTTAAGTAACAGGGTTTAGCTGCAGAATCTCTTCCCTGATTAATTTTGTCAAATTTTCATCTGTATCTTGTTTGAGTAAGTAGAGATGTTACGTGTTTTTGAAAAGGAATCAATTTGTTTGTGGTTTAAGATGAACATCACAAATGAAAAGGATAACTTCTTGTGTTGCCACTCTTGTTGTCCATAGCTGAATATATACGTGAAAAGTATTCACAGGAAATCTGCTGTCAAAGTGAATGGAATGAGTTACCCGTGTTGCAGATGTTGGGTGTCTGCTAGTTGCTCTTACATCTTTTGGCAAGGAGAGTGATAGGGTGGCCTCGCTGGAAATGACTGCTGGTCCTAATGGAACATCCCTTCCTCCCTGTCTGCAGAAGGAATTGTCAGCCTGGGCTTGGAAAATGCACTATGCCACGTGCCTGTGAACTGCCCCCATGTTCCCAGTAATGATTTTCATACTATATTTTGACTATGTGTACAGAAAGATGACATAATAAACTGTTGTTTAGCCTGAGAACTTGTGTACCACTTCTCCTACAGTCTCTCTTTCTGTTGGTCATGCAGAGTTAAGATCTTGGTCCTGAAATTTTAGAAAGTAGGGAGGGATGATCTATGACTGCTGGAGAAGAGTGCATGTGTGTTTCTTCTAAATCCTCTCCATCTTCTTGAAACAACCCCACTTAACCTGAAAGAAATGCAGACTGTTCCAGTTGCACCCTTGTCGCTTCATAGCTCCCTCTGTGGAGAAGCGGGTTCTGCTTCTCTGAGTTTTCTTCTGTAATGAAGCAGTTGAGTTTTCTCCTTGAAGGGCCATGCTCATAGGTATAGCTGTTCCAAATCTAGAACGGAATGCTATTCCCAGTCCAAATGTTAACATTTGACAGAAATTTAACTTGATTTATAGGTTACACCTGCTCTGATGCTCATTCCTACTGATGTTCTAACGATGTGCTGGGGAAATGCAAGAGCAAGGTGGAGCTGTTGGGCATATTCTCCTGCTCCCCTGCTTAGTTTTGGGGTTGTGTTTTGGTTTGGTTTTTTTTTTTTTGAGGGAAAGGGGGTTTTAGAGAGTGTTGGAGACATAGAAAAGCAAAAGATTTGTGGGAAACGGGAATATGGAATATTCCAAGGTATTTTTGACTCATTCTTGAAACTGGCTATCTGCAGAAAAACATTATTTGTCTTTATTCATTTAGTTTTGACTTAAGGCAAAAAACATTAAAGAAATTATTTCGGAAAAGAGTTATTTTTAAAATTTAAAAGTGGCTGTTTCTTGAATTTTTACTTCAGAGTCCACAGAATATAAAAGTAAGGTTTGCAAAGGTTAGTAAAGAAAAGTTGACATTTGCTCTGTGCATGGCTGAGTTCATGTACAAACTAGTGTGCTTATTTTGAAGTGCTGATGGTACTTAGAAATATGGTAGCCCTAAATCTTCAATTCAACTTTGCATTAAGACTAACAACTTTAAAGCATTATTTACTCCAAGGGTTTAATTGACTGTAAAATGTAGGCAAAATGTCCTTAATTAAGAGATATAATGTAATTCTTTTCCAAACTAAATTGTTTTTTCTCTATCCTTTTAGGGTATAAAGCCAGCAAGCTTTGAGAAAGTTACTGATCCTGAAATTAAGGAGATAATTGGAGAGTGCATTTGCAAAAATAAAGAAGAAAGGTTTGTTTCAAATAATCAAGTTTTGTGTTCAATAATGAGTATGCGGGGATTGCAAAGCTGTCTGTAGGTTTTGTTCTGGCCTCTGGATTTATCTGCCATATGATGTCAGGATAATTGAATAAATGCCTTTGTCGTGTCTGTCAACCTCTCAGCTTCAAAGAATAAGGCCGGAAAGCATCGTTGGGGACATGTGAGCTACCGTATTCTAGCACATTCTGGCATAGCTGTCCATAAAATCTCGCTCGGGAGGTTCTGCCTCGAGCATCGAGCGTGATGGGGGTCAACCATGACTGCGACATGGTAGATTCACTGCAAGCTGTTATAGCAGATTCCATGGGCTCGTCAGCCTCGGGATACAGAGACAAATTGTACCTTGTTTCCAGCTTTGGTTTTAAAACTTAATCATCTTATACTGGCCTCTCCAAGATGAGTGTGTCTACTGTTCTGTATTTCATAACTTTCACAAATACAGTTTTTAGGGACCTCAACTGACTACCTAGAGGGATCCTCTTTTTTAGTACACGTTTAGCTCAGATACTCAAGAAAAGTTGAGCAAAGCTCTAACCTGCATTTCTGTATGTACTTAGGGTGTATGAATATTGCTGAAGCTTTTAGGAGGTGTCATTTTTTCAACAGTCCTCAGTAACACTGGAAACGCTATGCCTTTTTGCAAAGAACACAAATTTGTTATGAACACCAAACACACTGTAAATGTTTTTGCCTTTAAGAGCAGTTTTTTGTCACAAACTTACTTGAAAATGGTTAAGACTTGCAGTATTTGAGTATTCTTTATATCCATTGCAGATATGAAATTAAAGACTTATTAAGCCATGCCTTTTTTGCTGAAGATACTGGGGTAAGAGTGGAACTGGCAGAAGAAGACCATGGTAGGAAATCCTCTATTGCCTTAAGACTCTGGGTAGAAGATCCTAAGAAACTGAAAGGAAAACCCAAAGATAATGGAGCCATTGAGTTTACTTTTGATCTGGAGAAGGAAACTCCTGATGATGTTGCACAAGAAATGGTAAAATAAACTTCTGACAAAAATGTGTCTATATATTTATATATAAGTAGTGCATAAATCTCAAAGGAGAGCAGGAACAAGTCTGATAAAGTACCTGCTATTTAAACCATTCCGGATGTCTAGTTTGCGCAGTTTGCATTGATTTTTAGAATGGATGCTACAAGAAAGGGGTAAACAGGGAAGAACTAATAACTGAAAAATATTGTTTGCCAAGTATGAAAATAGATGGTATTTCTTGGGGGACCATAGAGGGGGTCTTTTCTACTTCTATATTTTGAAAAATCTTTTGCCAATTTCTGTTAGCTGTTGAATGTCTTTTAAATTTGTTTGGAATCTCTTTAGTGTCAGCCAGCAGCTTGAAATAAATTAGAAGAGTTCCAAAGTTCAATCACAAAATATTCTGCACTGAATTCTTCAAAACACTTCTTTCCATCTTGTTTTTGTCAGTGTTACTTAGGAGGGACATGAGGTAGATGAGGAAAATCTGTGGTCAGCCACTCTATCACCAAACAGAAATAGGAATCTAGATTCAAGCCCACTGTGCAGAGTTAGGAATACGCTTTGGATTTTTTGACAGATAAATGTAGCTTGGTGGATTTCTGTATCTTCATAACTTGTGGGGTTTTGTTAGAAAAACTTTATAGTGTTACAGTTTCACTATATAGTCCTTGAACTCATGTTTTCATGATGCCTTTACTGCAGTTGTTTAGGTTTTCTAAGGTCATGGAAACATAGAACCAGTAAACACTTAGTCAAGGGTCTGAATTTTCTCCTGCTTGCAGAAATGTTCCTATTATATCCTGAATCCCAAGGGATCCCATTTAATGATATTGTCGTCACCACTTCTGTTCTGCTTAGGAGAACATTTTGGCAATGTTGTCTTACTATGCTTGGACTCATCACCACATTCTCCAAATTTAGTGGGAAAAATTCAGGCTCCTCTGTCTTCTTGCCGTTAGTTTGCAGTAGGTCCAGTATTTTTTGAGCAATGTATTGTTACGGAGCTCAGCTCATTAAAAAGTTGCTCTGGTGGAGTTACTTTCTGTTGTATTTTGCACTTAAATATCTATGGAAATATTTGGAGTTTTGAAGTTCTGTCGGTTACTTGACCCATAGTTGTGATATTTTGTTTTGAAGAGGAAATAATTCTCATAAAAAGTATACTTAAAAAGATCACTCCCAAACTACTGTGCTACTATTCCCTTGGCCAAATTATTTTAAAACCTGTGTTTTACAGTAACAGTTACTTAAGCGATTGCATATGAGATGCTTTCACACTTGAGGCTGCTGGAGGGTGGGAGCGAAGGGGGACATTCATTCCTAAATGTCCTTCTCCAGCCCCTATGAACTGTGGAACACCAAAGCCATGTGCTCTCATCAGTTAGTGTGCAAGAGAAGAATGCAGGAGACCTTGGGAGTATGGGGAATTATTTATCATTATGGATGGCTTTTCAGTAGTCAGGCATTCCAGCCCCTCCAAACAATGTGGGCACAAGGAACTTGAAACGTTCTGGTGGGTTTGCCACCTAAGTTACGTTTCACAACCAGTGGGTACTGTAAAATAGCATGTTTTCATTAAACTTTAACTGTTCTTTGTACAGAGACGCAGGAATAAGAATAGGTTTTTAGAAAAATTGTTAATGTGGCAGCTTTTCAGTGCCTTCTCATTAAGCTTTGTCATGAAGAATCTACTGGGCATGTTAGTTAATACCCTACAAGGTTCTTTGGACCTGTGTGGTTCTTCTCTCAAGTAACTCCCTTCTCCCATTAACATTTGCTGGATCATCGCTTCAGGAACGTCAGTAAGGTCTGAGGGCGTAGGCAGTGGAAAATACCCATCTGCAGCTGCATTTTAAGCTGCTTTGAACCTATTAATTTTAAACAGCGAAAATCTAAGCTGTAAAACTGTCTCGTGTTTGGGCAAGAGCAAAGAAGGGAAACCTCTAGATTTCCTCTGCAGATCTGTGGAATATGCATGTTAAGAATGTAAGGAGAGCAGACAAATCTCTGGTAGGTCATTATTAAATTCAAATTCCTACGCTGTGCTGTAGGAGATCATGCAAACAAACAGCACAAAGATGAATTTCCATTTTATCTGGTGAGCAGTTGAATTCTGAGCAGGCCTGGTCCCCTTTTGCAGTCAAATGTGAACAGTGTGTTTGACTCGATAGGCTTTTTCTTTATAAAAGTCAATCAGTACTGACTGACTTTACCATTTAAGAGAAGTTAATTTGAGACGAAATTCTGTTAACATCTTTCCCTTCATGACTTACTCTGGTATCAACCACAGTGATTTGGGAAACTGTGTATACTGGGAAGGTTAAGGCAATAAATTCTGATTTAGGGGTAGTACTTCTGTTACATTGTTCAAAGAGGATTTTTCAAAGATGTTTCTTTCCTCTTTTGAGTGTTCTGTTAGCCCTTCAAAAAAAAAAAAAAGGAACCCATCTGCAGTTAAACTTTCTCTCTTCTCAATGGATGTTAACTGGTGAATAAGTCGACCCAATATATATTCAGGTCTTAGAAATGACATATTATTGTTTTAAAATCGCTAGGTATAGAAGGTTTATTCAAAAAAAACCCCGTCAAGCTCTCGAGTTCCTGTTCTTGTGAGGAATAAATATGTAATTCACGTTATTTCAGACTGATTTCTCTGTCAGAAAAGAGATTTGAGTAACACGTGGGTGTGTACACGTGTGCATGCCCATCCGCGCGTGCATGATCTTGCTAAGTTTGTGCCTTCTCCATAGATTGACTCTGGATTTTTTCACGAAAATGATCTCAAGATAGTTGCGAAGTCAATACGTGACAGAGTAGCATTAATACTATGGAGAAGAGAGAGAATTTGGCCTAGGATACAGTCAGAGGAACGTCGGGACTCTGAGTGTCTGGAGAAGTTGAAGACTCCGCATGCACAGCAGGTCCAGGTCACCTACCTTTCCCACACTGGTCACCATGTCCTGTCGGAGTCAGAGGAGCCCGAGGCAGACCAGCATCCCTTTCAACAAAACCTGCCCACCAGCGTCACATCTGTTGCGTGTAAGTCTCGTCTTGGTTCCATGTGCACGTGGTGATGAATGTCCAAGGGTAAAAGTCAACGATAAACCGCGTTCAGCATTGAGCGCTGCAGATTTTTGCACAGTAGCTCAAAGAACACAAGCATCTCAGAGAGGTGTGTTATTTTGGAAAGAAATGAAGCTTCAAGAAAAACTATATTATGTAGAGATAGCTCCTCCTTCAGTAGCAGTAAATGCAGAAAACATAATATATTTGTAAATAGAAAAGCAAGGAGACCTGCTGCTAGACACAAAAAATACATGTTTTCCGTGCCAGATGGGGGGATCAACACTAAGTTTGTGTGAAACACAATTTCGGAGCCTGCAGAAGCTGAATTGGCACCAAACTGGTCAGAGCAACTGGTGGCTTTTTCAAATTACGTTGGCAATGTGGAGAGGTTTATTCAAAAGCAGACCTTGCTGAAACCAAAGCGCTGCAGTTTCTTGTGTTTTGCGAGTCACTCTTGATGGCTTGTGTGAAGTTTTTTGTGAAGCTGTGCAAAGGTCTACAGCAGAAAAAAAAAAACCACCAAATGCGTCTCTCAATGTTACGTGATGTAATTCAAGATTTCCCTGTTTTGTGGGAAAGTATCAACTGTGGTGTGGTCAGGCATGTTGGGAGCACCAGATCTTGTGGGCTGATGCTGTAATTATTATTGGGGTCCTTAGGTCATGATGCAGGTGCGCTCTCTGTTCCTCCAGGCTCTCTATTTTGTCCTGAGCTCATGGCCTGGAGGCACAGGGGTGGTTTGATCTTCTTTACAGCAGGTCAGAGTAGGTGGTTGCTCTCGCTCATCCAGGCCCTGGTAGCTACAAGCTGATGATCTGCCAACTCTTCACATCCAGCTGGGGCTGATTCAAGGCTCATCACTAGGCTATTTCAAGACAGATGGATTTACATCTCCTGTTTTAATTCCCAGCACTGATTTTGGTCTGTCTCTGAATAAGAAACTCCCCGGCTTTGCTTGCAGAACTTGTTCTTCCTTCATTTTATTTCTGAGCACCAGACTCATCTCCAGTGAACAGCAAGGCACGAAGAACTAGTGTTTTTATTTCCCTAAAGTAACTTGTACCCGTGTCCCCTAAAATCAACTTTTGTTAACAAGTGAAGCTCTGGTATTGAAATCTTAATCTATTTATACTTTTAAACATCTTGAAGGAAATGTTGCCAGATATTTTTAGCTTGGAAGATTTGAAATTTTATGAGAGTTTTTTTTTTCTAGCCAGTTTTTCTGATAAAATCTGGTGTACGTATTTTGCTACTAAATTATTATCATAATGTTTCTGTTTTATTGTTTTGGACTTTGATGTAAGCACATTTAAATTAAAGATGCATTATCTTTACCAAAGAGACAGCTGCTGCTGTAATTCAGGTATTGTATAAATTGCTATACAGAGGTCTGCTTTGAATACTAAAATAACCAAGCACGCCTCTGCAAGAAAACAAACCTTTAAAAGATATGAGAAATGGCCATATTTGCATAAATCTCAAAATATTGCGGTATTTACAAAGCTTTTTTCTGAAGCTAAATTGATCTAATTTTTTTTTTTTTTTTGGATCATATACTTAATTCATGCTCTCTGATTCCTTTGAGAAACATTGTAATTATGGTTCTTTTTGTTTCCAGTGGTACAATGAGGCTACTCGTGCCTTCCATGCTTCTGTTCGACATGAGTTGGCAGAATTTTATGCTAAATATAAAGCCCCCAGTTTATTTCCTACTCCTTCTCAAATTCTAACCAATATTTGGTATTATTTGACAATTCACTATCAGATGTCTGGATGTTTTCTTAGTGATTGTTAGGCCTAAGACCTCTATAAATTACTGTTCTACCAATTAATATCATAATCTGAGGTCAGATGTGAAAATGTAAATTAATAACTTAATGTGTGTAATGCATGTTGCTCTATAAAAAATTGAGACTGACTCACAGCTTTTACTTTAGCACTCTACCGTCGTTTTTTTTTTTGTTTTCCTTTGAGGTCTTAAATAGTTGTTTGTAATAAAATGGAAGTGTGTATGCGGTAGAAATCCCTGCTGCCTTAGAGCAGGCCCATGTTGACTCTTTTTAGAAATGAGTGGAATAAATATAGAGGGGAGTTTAATTTCGTGAACAAAACAGTTGGGAGAATAGTTTGTGAATATTGAGGAGGAATGTCATCTCTGGTGCTATTAAAAAATAATTTTATTATCTAAAAGCCAAATAAGTAAAGCCTTATTTGGAATATGGAAAGAAGAGAAGATGGGAAATGTCAGAGAAAGAAATAGCATTTAAACTTAGCTGTAATTTAAGCCATTTTTTTTTGTACCTGTGTTACAGTTTTCTTACAGTTTTGAGTTCTAAATCTCTGTTACAAGCTATTTGACTTTTGGATACTTACGGCTACAGTCTTGGTTATCTAATTTTATTTCTCAAATGAAGAAAACAATAGCTTATGCCCAGGAAGAACTGGGCACCTCTACAGGCTTCAAAAGACGTGAAAAGACATTTTTAAATTGGTAATACTCAATGGTACAGTTAAAAGATATATTTCCGTTTGAGAACAGATACGGTGCTTGCCCAGTAGCTGTGCAATTCTGCAGCTTAGCTGGACAAACTCTCTGCATGGGAAACTCCGACAGAGAAGGGTGCTCCTAAATTGCTGCAAACCTGCAAATTATTTTGTTATCTGCTCTTCATCTTGAGGTATTGCTATATACTCACGTAGGGTGTGATTTGCTGAACTAAAAGTGTACAAAAAAGTTTGTAATTTTCAGTGCTACTAATAAAAAAGGTTTTAAAGTCAGTGCATCCCCGGGAGATGCAACTCTAAAAGATTCCATGATCTGCCGTGAACATTACAGTTGGGGTTTCCTTTCCTTTCATCCTACAAAATCTATAAACGTCTGCAATTCTTAATGTCAACCTTGTGCCCTTTAAAGGAAATACAATGTGCCTAAAATATCATCACGCACAGAAATCCATGGGGATGGCTTTTGGCTTAAGAGCAGCAGCATGTGCCTTTTGTGGCAAATAACATTTGTGTTGTATAATTTATTTATATAACGGAAAGGGCCAGGGTAGTAAAAATGCTAATTACGTAAACCAGTGTTGACCTTGCTCTAAAATCATTACTTGAACGTTTGCAGGCGTTGGGCTTTTAATCAAAAAATGTTGTTCTTTCAGCCGACAGCACATTTGACAGCGGCCAGGGGTCCACTGTTTATTCAGACTCCCAAAGCAGCCAGCAAAGTGTCATCTACTCGTCCCTGCCTGATCCCGTACCTCCCGCTATCCAGCGGGTGTATAGCCCACCTCTGAGCGAAAGCCAGGCTGTGCCCCATGGCCTTCAGCAGCTGGGGCACTACCAGCAGCCCTCAGGAGTAAGTCTGAAGCTTTTCGAAATCCTTTTGTGTCCTAGATCTAATGGCTCATTTATACTTGTGTTTTCAGTAGGTGTGGATTCCAGGGCTGGCTTCACACGGTCCGTACTCAGCTCTGTTGATGGTGGCTTGCTTACTAATACATTTCTAATTGATCTGAAATATGTGCTTGGTGTCTGGCTAGCTATATTTGCTGTTCTGAAGAATGCCAGCTTCACTGACAGCGGTCATGCTTTCAGTAAAAAAGCTTCTCTTCAATCCTTTGTCACTGAACTACATTAGTAGCTTTGCAATTATTAGTTTTAACCTCATGCACATACTTGAGAACTGTTTTGTTTGGTTTTGTTCAGTGTCAGTGTAGCCACATGGTATTGTTCCTTCATTTGTTCAAGAGCCTCTTGGGTCTGATGTTTCCTCCCGTTGTGACCAAGGTCACACGTTAAGTCACTGCCTTTCTGGCTCTGGGGTTGGATTGAACCTTGCACAGAGTTGGTGAAGTTCGTCCATTACTGAGGTTCCAGAAGCAGGCACTGGTAGCCCAGACAGACGTTCACACTTGCTTCTGTTTTCATGCTCTTATGACCTTGATCAAAAGCAATTAATGGAACTACTGGTGCAAGAACAAACATGTGCAAGTGATCGGAAATCTTCAGGTGCTTCCAGTGAGAGGCACAACATGAGCGTGTTGTGTCCTTCAGAAGCTGTTCCAGCACTATGTTCCACTTCCAGCCTGCGCCCATTACACACGGCAGGCAGTGCTAATGCTCACATTACTTTTTGCCGCCACAGTGACCCCGTTGTGGCTTTGACTCCAAACACAGTGTCCCATCCCCAAGAACCTGGAGAGGAAAACGCGTATCTGCAGACTAGAGAAGAGGCAGCAGGCTCATCACCTCTGGTGGCATTGGGGGACCTCTGCGCACCCTACGGAGCTAACGGTTCCTCACCAGCCTCCTCAGCCATGCCTAGCCTGTTTATTCCAGTCTGGCCAACATCAAAACGTGTCAGAAGTCTTGATGGCCTGGTGAAAGTCCTTGCTCCCCAGGTAGCCAACGCCCAGCAAACTTGGTGTCCCAACCTCTCCCACAAATTGGCAGGCCGTGGGGCAGAAGTTTAGAGCTGTCTCCATTACGTGAATCTTTACAATACATAATTAGCCAAAAGACCAGTTCTTCTCCCGGGAGATCTGCGTTGCAGGAAATGTTCTGCCCTCTGCATCCCCCAATGGCGGCCAAGCCAGTGTGCCTGGATGGTACTGGCCCCATTGTAAAGCACGTGCTGGCGAAACACCACCGGTGGAGAGCAAGGTGGTGACTGCAGCCACCCCAGGCAGTGGAAGCAACCTGCCTAGTAAAAATGATAGTCATGATGGTGGTAGGTTAATTATTTTTTTGTGTGTTTCATCCTCTTTGAATTAAGAGAAGAAAAAATAAAACGCAAGACCAATGGTTTTTTCCTGCTTGATCCAGATTTACCCTGCATACTTGGGAAGTGCATCGTTATCCCTGGTTTTACCTTATATTTTCCAAAATGCCTGCCAGAAATGATGAACGCATTGAAACATGACTCCATTCACCCCTTTTAGAGCAGACTTGTTCTTTCCATTGATAGGTTCCAGTAATTTTACCCTAAATGTATTTTGCTTTTTTTGTGATTGAGGATTTGGCAAGATTTTATTCACAAGCAAAATATTTCTCCTAGCCTATGATTTTTTGATGGGGTTTCTGTATTTTTTTTTTCTTCCTGTGATAACTTAGGTAAAAAGTTCCAAGGTTTGAAATAAATTCTCAACAAACACAGAGAATGGATCTGACTCAAAACCTTCCATTTTCCAAGGAAAAAAAATGATCACTGTATTTATCTGGGAGATTATTTACCAAAATAATAGGCACATAACTGTAGGGTGGGGTTTTTTAGGCTTATGAGCCTCAGTTTGCCATATTGTTTGTTTTTAATTAATTGACTTTGAGCTGAAGTTTTAGAGAACTGCTGTTGTTACAAACCTTATCTGAATTTCTTCTAATTGTTTTTTCTTCCACTTCCACTGTGGTTTTAATTTCTTTCTCATTTCTCTGTTTGTTTTGTTGGCATCCATGTCAAGTGAATTCCCGGCTTTTTTGGAAGATAAAGATTCTTTGTGAAATTATAAAATCTTTGTGAAGATAAATTTCTTTCTCACCCAGTTAACGGCTTGTCATTGCTGTTGGTGTATTCTCACTGTGTGTGTGCTTTCAGCAGTTTTACTGGCCGGCACGCTTGCTTCCGGAAAGAAATGCCATGCAGTTTGGTTGTCTTACTTTGAATTTGCCGACTTTTTTCCCACGTGTTTAGATTAAGGGAATTTCCTTGCAGATAATTTTTCAGATTTCCCCCCCCCC